AACCATAAAGCGGTTATATCGAAAATGCAACTCTTGTAAAATCTTTATATGGAAGAAAAAAAACGCAACCCTTGGCCTACAAAAAACATTTTTCCTTCCTCATTCATTTCACAGATTGAAACTATAGCTATTTGTCTAACCAATAGAACAATTCATGAATTTTTACGTCATTTAAATTGATTCATTTGTAATTTAACATTTTTAAATCGTCCAATGCATATAAAAAATATAGTTGATAACCAAGTTACTTGTGGGTGCCTCTATTTTGTAGTAATGTTAAAGCGACTTCAATAACTTTCAAATATGAAGAATCAATGTTTCCGTAGAGAATTGTTAAATCTAAAAATTCACTATATGTACCACCTATTTCTGAGAAAAATATAGTTGGAGATTTTATTAGTTTTTTTATATGTAAAATTTGCCATCAAATCTGCATTGTATAAAAAAATCCAAAATTCTTTACACAAATCAAGCATTTTTGGAACTTCTACAATAGTAAACGATTAATACGAAAAGACACAACATTTTGAAAAGATGCAACCCTTAAAAACAACTACTATATATAATTATTTTTTTGGATTTGCTGTTATATATAGATAATTAAGTAAGGGTTACAAATCACATTAACCCTAACTATTGGAAAAAAATCCCCTACCAGGAGAGTTTAGCTTCGAAACGAAAACAAGAGGGCTTGCTCGTTTGAGATCACTAGATGTTTTCTGAGCATCTTACTTGCGAGGTTTAACAGCAATTTCCTACTTGAAGAAGTAGCAGTAAGAATATATAACTGCACATTCTTTCTATACCATGTTGGTATTGTTTGTTACTCCCATGTCTGCCTGCAAGGTGAGTACTATGAACATAATTTAATATCAATTTAAAACACAGTCCAGTTATTCATGGAAGAGATTACACAATATAAATAGCCACAAAAGTGCAAAACATAAGAAAATTTTAGAATTAATATAATTTTTAAAAACATCTTATACTTTGATACAAAACAAATATCTAAAATGTTTTATTCTTTTTAAAAGGGAGTATTTTTGTGTAAGATATTATTTTTTGTCGGCAAGAAAACTTCATTAAAACATAAAGCTTACAAAGTTTATATTTACTAAGTAGGGAGCCAAGAGTTTACATAATTTGATGCCCTTATTCTTGCAGATTCTACTAAATCATCCACCTCCCTAATGGGATGGCTTCTCTTTTAATGTGTTTAAACCTATATCACTTGTAGGAGTTGTCAAATGTAGAATATCCTTGCAATATGTGTCTA